ATAAATAAATTTACGATTTAATATACTTATTGTATATTTGTATATTGTATACAGGTTATACCAGTGAATTATTTTATATGCCTGGTGTTAATAATTTATATAATATGTAATATAATAAACTATATTCGTTTGATACTTCTGATTATGTATTATATTTTATTATGTTTTAATTTAATGCTGGCAAAAGTGTGTTATTGTTATTATGTATGGTGAAAATTTGGTGGAAAAAATATTGCTATTACATAATTGAAAGAACATTAATGCAATTTGTCGTTTTTCTCGTGATTCGTTAGCAATAGTAAAGGACACACACAAGAAACGTATGCTATATAATTTATACTAATGCATATAACGATAAATAAATCGATCAAACTTAATAGAATTTTAGAAAGTTACTTTATACAAGATTAATTACAAAAATTTAAAAAAAAAAAACTAAAACATATTTGTTAAAATGCCAATGATCGGAACATATTTTAACACCGCTACTGTATACGTATATATTAATATAGTCAGAGAATCATAAAATTGCCAAATTCTCTGACTTGGCGTCAGTCAAAATGATTGAATTCTCAATAATCGCTCAATCGATTCCACGAGTTGTGCTTAGATACAAGATGATCGATGATGATAATAATAATATAAGTAATATATTGTTATGAATTATTTTAATGACGCGTGGTGCTGCGTATAATATCTGACGGTTTACGACTCATGGCGATTTTGTTGTTTTAATTGAATTCTAAAATGTTTTTTCCTTATATACATGTTTTTTTTATCGGTTCCCGGGGAATAAAAAATCTATTATATTATAATGTTTCGAGCACGTATTATAGAACTCGATAAAATTGATTCTGGGTAGTAAAAATGTACGAGAATTTTATAGTTTTTGAATAATATACTATTACTATAAATTATAATGTGCGGTTAATTACTTGGTCAAAAAGTAATAAGGCCCATTATATTATATTATCGTGATGAGTGCAACAGAGGCGACGGCGGGTTGTGCGGTGCACGCGTTTATTGGGCAATTAATAGATTGGGTGACAAATAATACTGAAATACAAATAATATGGTATGCGTAATGTATTATCTGGTCGCGGTCTCCTATATATCTACATATAATATTATGTGATACGAATACTAGGTTTTTTAAATTTATGATGATGAAATTTATTTTTACTTAATATTATACATGGATGAAAAAATAAACAAACATCGTTAAATTTTTGCATTTCTAACAATTATATATATGTATATATGATAAGAATATCACTAAAAAAATAATATTATAGCATGAAATAAGTTTATCGAAAGTCAAGACGTAATTTATTTATAACAATAATAATAATTTAAAAAATATAATACAGAGTGTCTGTGAAGTGTAAGTACCTATTAATGTGTACACATTATAAAACGTGTAATTGTAACTTATATCCTTATAATTTAGGTACGCGACGTTTACGCGATGAAAAACATAAGTAATTAGTTTAAAATAAGAAGTGAGCACGGTTCGCGCCTTTAATGTTTAAGAAACCTTGACAGAGCGTCGAGTATAGGTACACACTACACGCAACTCAGAGTAAACAAACAGTAGCGGACACTCCTATATCCGGCGTAGTGTATCCTTTACACATTATACGTATACGCGTGTATGCGGATACCCTTTCACGTGTTCGCTCGTGTATGTAGACGAAAATATTGGTAAATAAGAAAAAAGAAAGAATGAAAAAATATACGTGAGGACAAACGTTTTCGATTTTATTTTTGAGTATGGTAAAAATAATGTGTACACGATGAACACTGGAACACGACGCTCCACTTTTTTTTTTACACACTGAGCTGCACCTTTTTCTCGACAACTATAAGTATTATTATTATTTTACAGATAGAGATAAATAAAATAAAATAAAAACATATGACCGCGACCTCCGGCGAAAAGACATCAAACATTTGGCCGTATAATAATTATTTATGTTCGGTATTATTTGACGATTTTTTTTTATTTCACGTTTTGGGTTCGCCTCCCGGTGAAAATATCATTGTAGGGTAAACGATTATATATAATATATGTAGGTTTATGTATGTATTTATTTTATATTTTAAATTATTATGAGATATAATATGTCCGAAGGGTTTCTTCTGTTATTCGAAAAACTTATCAGCCGGCAGTTGGGTAATGGGTATATATTATATTATATTACACGTATAAACGGGTGTCTGCTTCGCGAGTATATTTTGGACGGCAAGTCAAACACATATAATACAATATATAATAATACGAATACGTGAGATATAAAAGAAATGCGTGAAGGCTGTAAAACTTTTATTAGACGGATCTCGGCGATAATGCTCAGCTCAAAAACGAGAGTATAAAATTTGTCATTTTTAATGACCACGTGTAAATCAACTATACTGGGTGATTCATTTATCGGACAACACTCATTATTTTAAAATCTATTAATGTTTTCAAAATATTTTTTTTAAATATATATTTTTTAATGTTTCTTATCTCTATAAGTTTTTAGATTTTTATTTTTTTGGATAACAATATACATTTTTTATATCATATTATACAGCAGTATATTTTTAGAAGTATTTTTATGGATAAAAAATGAAATCGGATGAGTAGTTTATGAGTTATAAGTATTTAAAGTAACGGTGAGCGGAGTGGAAAGGTACAGAGATACTCCAAAAAATATTAGTCTACTAATTCCACTTATCTAAACTTTAAATACTTATAATTCGATAAATACTTGCTCGAATTTCGACTTTAATGTATCGAAATACTTAAAAAATATTATATCTCAGAATATGAAATAAAATATGTAAGTTGTCGTTTAAAAAAGTAAAAAAGTAAAAAAAAATTAACGACAAAAAATTATTTAAAATATATAATATATTTTTTAAATTATGCATAATTTGACCTAAAATTGTGTGAAAAAAATTTTTTTAAGATACTAATAGATTTTAAAATAATAAGTTTTCGTTAAAAAAGTCACCCTGTAGGTACATAATATATTATATTATGTTTTTTTTATCATTATAAATATTTGAATAATAAAGATTGAAATGAGTTTTATTTGAAATAATAACGTTCTGTGAATGTTATTTAATATAAAAATTCTAAGACAGTAAAACGTATTTAATATAAAATGAATGGAATTTTGTAATAATAATATATTTATTATATATCAAGTTTTTACAATAATTTGTAGGTGCATGTATGTCTCTGCGTATTCGCTACAAAAAATTACACATTTAGCACAGGTAGCACGAATGTTTACTTTAAATGGCTTCCTGTGTACAGGTGAGACGGACTTCTTTCCGGAAACCAAAAAAAAAAAAAAATGATGAAATTCTACACGAATTAAATGCATTTGTAAGCACTATTACGAAATCGAAAGAAAAAACATTGTCGGCTAACATTTCCGAGGTGCCGTGTTCTATTTTAGATGTCGCACAAATATGATAAATTAATTATTGCATAAAACATATATTATATATTAGTAATGCACTAACACAAATCGATCAGAATGTTAAACAATATGTTTTATCATAGAAAATGTATTTATAAGAAATTTAATTATGTAAAAAAAAATAAACAAATATTTAGTGTATGGCAGATTGGTTTAAATTTAAATGAACATAAAATAGTTGATAAGTATCTTCTCATTTGTAGTGCACTGAACTTGAACTTGTTTATATGGACAATATAAACGAACCTATAGTAAGATAACTGAATAATATTTCGGAAAATGCGATGAAATCTTATAATTTTAATTGGTCTATGATATAAATATGAAATTGCAAGGGTGATAAGTGATAGCAGAATATAGTAAGAAAATTTATTGAAAATACAAGTATATTATTTAGTGTTGTAGGCATAATATGTGTATTAAAGACTATAAAAAAAAAACACCTAATTGATAAAAAAAAAAAATAGTAATACATAATATTGGACGTTTTAATCGTTATAGGTAAGCTTTTTACTTAGTTACATGAAAAATCGTATAAAAGAGGGAGAGAAGGGGAAAGAATTAACAAATTAGAATAAAAAAATTATTAGATAACAAGGCGTATTAATTAGTTTAGGTCAAATAGTCTTATTTTTTTCATCGTTTTTTTGCAGGCTTACGTGAATTTATCATAAATTTTTTATGGATGCCACTTCAAGTCCAGATAAGACTGAATTTCACGAAATTGAATGAATTTTCTTGTTGAGCAAATAATTATAGGTGGCGCTTAACAATAATTATGTTCAGATGGCAAATAATAATAATTGTCTTCAATTCCTAGAATACTGCGATTGCCAAAATAATTGCATCAATAATTTCTATCTATTATTTTTATCAATAAAGTATTTATTTTTTGGTTTCTAACATTCTAAGCCATACAATGAAGACTAATGTAAATGAATTCACATAGTTTAATATTTTATACCCGAGTATTAGGAAATTGAATAAATTTTTAAGTGAAATTAAGCATAGTATCGTTTAATTAATTAATTATAGCTAGTAAACGAGTTTCTGAGCGCGATTGTGTATTTTACTGTGTATTGTATACGGTAATTAGTGGGAATTAATACAAAATTGTGAAATATTTCCGATTACGAATTTTGTAAACGCAAACTGTTTTTATTCTATTTATTATACTATAATTTACTATAGGTAAAAATCGGACTGTAGCGTAAATGGTAAATGTGATGGGAAAATAAAATCTGGAAATTATAAAAATATTTATGAATAACCAATAATAACTACAAATAATCGTTAACTGTCGCGTGAGATAATAATTTAAATTTTTCATACAGATATCGACTAGGACGACGAAAAAAAACATTTTTAACCTTTTATGGTGTCATTATCGGGCAGAAAAAATGTATACGCTTGCAGCAATAGCAAAGAAAAAAAATTGAATCGTCAACGTTTTTTGAGTGAAAAAATTAAGTTAACGTTAATATGTAAAAAATAATACTATGACGATGATGATTTACTTACAGTAACAGCCGATCGTGATGTACAATCACGCACACGTCCTGCGTCCACGACACTTGCACAAACAGTGAGAATTTTAACAATGAAATTTTTGTACGGTTTTACCGCAAAAAACAACGGAAAAATTAAAATAAATAACAACAAATAAATATTACTAAAAAAAAAAAAACTGTTCGTAAATGTCAAAATTAATATATACAGGTGCGTATATATCGGTGTTTTAACGAGCGCGTCACTTACTCACTCACTCGGAAAACACGGAAAAAAAAAATTTTTACAAGTATACAAAACTAAGAATCGGCGAAAATCCACAAAAATCGCGAAACAGTCGACGAGGGGCGAACGGCGGCACTCACGATACGCGGTGTTGGCATGTCGCGGGCGCGTGTTCGGCGGTGCGGATAAAAACACTGTAATATATATATATATATATTCTATATTATGCTATATTATACTTGAGCAAATGACACGATAAAAAACAAAAAAAAAAAAAAAATCAAACAAACAAAAATCGCATTAATCGTTGCGGAGCGACGTGCAGAACAAATCCGAGGAAAATCTCTCTGCTCCGGCGAGAAAATAATGAAAAATTTTCTCTCCCCCGCGTGATATGCGTAGTCGGTCCCGCGGTGGGCAGAGGGGTCGGTCGGACCGCGTGTGCTTGCCGGGCGCGCGCGCGTGCAGTGCTGTACGGACGACGGACGACAGCGGACAACCACGGTGACGGCGATTGCGACTGCGACGGCGGCGGTGGCAGCGGCGGCGGCGGCGGAGCGACGAATGTATATTATCCCGCGTGCGTGCTGCTGCGGTGTAATTTTTTTCCTCCTTTTTATTATTTTTTATTATTATTATTATTATTAATTTCGCGGCGCGTGTATGTCGTACCGCGTACAGTGTAATAGTCGTCGTCGTCGTAGTCGTCGGGTGCCGGTGCCGGTGCGGTGGCCAGGTGACACTGAAACGTAAAATTCGAAAAGCAGGAAACCCTTCGTATCCCCACCGCGGACGCGGCGACGGCG